TTTGTGAACTGAGAAAGATGAATTAAAACCTTCAACCATTAGTTATTTCCTATTATACCTGTTAAATACTACAGTTTCACTTTGTGATGACTGATGTGATGTTACTTGGAACATAAATGTTCCTAACACTAATATCTTCATTTTGAATCAGAAAAATCACAGTGACCAGCAGGATATTGAAAATGGTTTTCTCTTCAGCAAGAGGCAAGCTAATTTAGGCTTCTGAATCATGTAAGAGGTCAGGAATCAGAGGTAGCACTACTCCAGAAAAGAGGTGGGAGGTGAAAATCAAAACTGGCACAATGAACTCACCAGTCAATTAGAACCATCCCTTACACAGAGCCATTACGTTTTCATGTCTCATTCCTAAACATGAACGGACACCTGATGGAATCTTTGGGAACAAACAGTGGGGTAGGAAGAAACTATTAATTAAAAGAACCTTGGAAGGAACAGATGGAATTTTAAAAATTATCATCCTCAGTAGTAGAAAGGCAATATTGCATTTATTAAAAAAACAAAACAAAAAAAAAACAATGGTATAAAAAAGAAGGAACTTTTAAAAGGAGATTTGGAAATTAAAAATATAATGGCAGGGCTTCCCTGGTGGCACAGTGGTTGAGAATCTGCCTGCCAATGCAGGGGACACGGGTTCGAGCCCTGGTCTGGGAAGGTCCCACATGCCACGGAGCAACTAGGCCCCTGAGCCACACTACTGAGCCTGCGCGTCTAGAGCTTGTGCTCTGCAACAAGAGAGGCCGCAACAGCGAGAGGCCCGCGCACCGCGATGAAGAGTGGCCCCTGCTCACCGCAACTAGAGAAAGCCCTCACACGGAAATGAAGACCCAACACAGCCAAAAATAAATACATACATACATATATATATATATATATATATAAAATGGCAGAAATTTAAAATCACTAGAAGGAATGAACAAGCTGAGAGCATCTCACAGATGGTAGATTCTAATATCCAATTAACAGTAATTCCAAAAAGAGAAAGCAGAAGGTAGGAAATTATTGAAGAAATATTACCAGCAAAATCATGTGACTCGAAATAAATTAGTTTCCATTTGAAAGGGCCATGGAGTATCCAAAATAATGAATGAAACCAACACCCTGAGTAGGGTAAACCATCATGAGATTTCAGAAATCAAGGGATTAGACATAAGAACCAGAAATTCTCAGAGAGGCAAAATAGGTGATATACAAAGAAAGGATCAAGAATCAAAATGGCAGCAGACTTCTCATTAGCAATGCTGGAACCTGCAAGACAATGGACTGATTTCCAAACTAGACATTTACACTTGGCAAATTTTCATATTAGTGTGAGGATAAAAAAAATCAAGTCTTTTTTTAGTACATGAAAAGAAAAACAAAAAAGAAAGAAAGAAAACTGCTTCTCTCAATACCAGGTTCTACCCATGCAGCACTATGTACAAACGGCACTGCTCCAGCAGTTACATGGGACTCAAGGCCTCAGCCTGTCCCACCAGGCCACATGAGCACATGGGCCACAGCTGCCTCCACCTGAGCTGCAACATCTTCCTGGGCCATTCAGCACTGGCAGCAGCCAAGCAAGTAAGCTCTTCTGCAAGTACTTGGGAAGAGGATAATAAGTTGTGCAGGGATGGGCCAGTGGAGGAGCTGGATTCAGAACTTTCCTGGTTCAAAAACTGATCAGATAGCCTTTCCTCTGTGGCCATCTGGTCAGTTTGTTAATAATAGTTTATGGAAGTCATTTATTAGCAACTGTTTTTTCCTAGAATGCACTTAATTGGGCACATGGTTTATTTTTACATGTTAAAAGACCTGAAGCTCTGGAGATAAATGGAAATGTGCAAGTGTTCATGAAAAAGAACAGAGTAACCCCTTCCAGTGTCTTTAAGAACCATACTGGAAAGAATAAACCACTAATAATTAACAATATTTACAAGAGGGGGACTTAAAATTTAGATTCCCATCTTATGAATTATTCCTTCACAAAGGGAGTTGGGGAGAGTGAGAATCACATTTTTTTTTTTTATTATACAACTTGTGTGATGTAGAACACTCCAGCACAATGCAACGTCAACTTGTTGGAAAGTTAGACCATCACTCTCTAGCACTGTAGCTACTTTGGCAACTCAGATGCTTCCCATTAAAGTCAGTGTCACAGTCAACTTGGCAAGTTTGAATGTCTAGTTGAGTTGGATGACTCTGGTATTGGACTGGAAATATTATTTGTTAGCACATCTAAACAAATCCTCTAGAAAAAAAGATCACACACTATGATCTCCTTGTACTGCACTTAAGTCTTTCTACTCATGGTCTAAAACTGGTGGTAGGTTTTTAGATTTGGAGTCCTTAAAAGAGATTCATCAGGACACTATTCGGCCCTGGGTGGGGATACTAACAAACGGAAGGGTATGTTCACAGTATGTGGAGGATGGGTGTGTTTACCCAAATTTAATCTCAATTTTGAAAATACTGCTATTATTGGGTACTGTTAGTGAACTGGATACTTTCTCCCATATAATGATTCTACTTACAAAGTGATTGTCAGTGCATTTTAAAGGTTCTTATTTTGTTATTAAATTGAAATGCTTATTTTATGTTTCAAGTACAGTACTGATTTTTTAAAAATAACCTATTCTTAACATGGAATTACCTATGTGGGATCCTACTACTGTTTAACTTTAGGATTTTGTATTCTTCTTTTTTTTTTTTTTTTCGCGGTAGTGGGCCTGTCACTGTTGTGGCCTCTCCCGTTGCGGGACGCGCAGGCTCAACGGCCATGGCTCACGGGCCCAGCCGCTCCGCAGCATGTGGGATCTTCCCGGACCAGGGCACGAACCCGTGTCCCCTGCATCGGCAGGCGGACTCTCAACAACTGCGCCACCAGGGAAGCCCAGGATTTTGCACTCTTAAAACATTGAGCCACTGCTTCCCTGCCTGAGCCCAACTGATCCAAGCACTTATCCCAGTTCCTAGCACATGCCAGTCACTCTACGCATGGTGGCCACCACTATTATTATTGCTATCACCACAGTTGTAATAATACACTAGCTTTGCAATTAAAAAAAAAAACAAAAAAACCAAGCCATTGAAATGTTCACTGCTCTTTGCAAAATGCCAATTCAAGTTAAATTCCTTCAAGAAAAAAATGAATTCATTGCTTACCACCAGTCCTTTTACTATAGTTTTTTCAGTCATTGCTTGGTTGTCTTAAGTTATTCTTCTAGCAGTTTCTTCATGAAAGGCTTTGGGTTGAGTATAAAATTTTTGACCGTCTCTCTTTGAACCTTCTTCTCCTGTGTTCCAGAGTCGAATGTTAATGTTAAGAAATCTGAAGCCTACCTGATTATTTTTACCTTTAAAAATAGCCCAATTTTTTTGGTTCTGCCCAAAGGATTCTTTTATCTTTGACTTCTGTTAACTTCATTAAGATGTCTTACTGTTGACTCTCCTATGTCATTTTTTACTGAGACATGGTATATCCTTCTCAAAGTGGAGAGTCAGATCTCTTGATTTTGGGAAAATCTTTCTTGAATCATACCTTTAAATATTCCCTTTGTGCTATTATATTGGATTTCTTCTTTGTGAACTCGAACTATGTGTATGTTGAATCTCTTTAACTTCCACTACTGTTATTTTCTTTCTAGTGCTTTTTATCCTTCCTGGCCTCTGCCTCTTGCCTTGTTTTCAGCAGTGCCTATTCTCTCTTGGACTGCTTCTAATTTTGTATTCATTATGTGATTCTTAAATTTTTTATTCCACTTCTTTCCTGAGCTCTGCAGTTTACATTTCATCTACTGATGTCTTGCCATGTGCTTGAACATGGGAAAATAATCATAATTTTCATATGCTCCATGGCAACAATTTTTATCTTCGAAGTATTCTTTATCTGCCTTTTATTTTTCCTGTTCTTCCACCTTTTTTTCTTATAGTATTTTAGTACAGATCTCACGTTGGCTCCTTTTGGGCAGCCCAGCTTGGAATTAGTTGAGGTTTTTATGTACAAGCCATTGGTACAAAGCTTATATAAGCGAAGACCTGGGTACGCATTCCAAGTAACAGGCATTTTTCCTTATGACGCAGGGTTGTGTGTGAGTCCTGTTCATCTTTACTTCCCCCTAGCCAAAAGAAATATGCAGTTTAAGTATTACACCTCCCCCCACCACTTAAACAGACTGCTTCATGCAAATTTGGCTTGATTCCTTGATCAGTCTTTCCCCTACTGTCTCTTTGGACCAAAAGAGGTTCAGACAATATCCTTTCACAACCTGTGCATCTTATTCTTGTTGATGAAACAAGGGATTTTGATTTCGTGCCTCGGGGTACGCTCCTCACCTTGGAGAAAGGCACCCTGCTGGTTCTTTTGGAGATCCATATGGCCCCACAGACCAGTCTCTCCATACCTGCTCCAGCACCCCTGCATGACCTCCAGTGCTTCTTGCAACCATTCCACCTGTGCTGTGGTTCATGATTTCAAATATCTTCAGGTCTCCTAGCTTTCTCAAAGATGGAGTTTGCATTTCTCTTTTTCATTCTCCTTGTTGCTTTGGAGTGTTTTCAGAGACAAGAAGGGGAGAACATCAAGCATACTCTGCTACTTACAATCTGGAAGTTCTCAGTGGGAGTAACTTGTTATTACATCCAGGAGTATTGTCACCTTATGATTTTCAAAGCCCCATCAAGTGTATTTTCTCTCTTAAACATGCTGTATACATGCTAGTTATTAGCAACTTAATACTAAAAAGCTTGTGGCTTACTCAAGGTCTCAGAGCTAGTTAGAACCCAGGTCTCTTGATTCCTGGTCCATGTTCTCAACACATTGCACATGGCCAGTGAACTCCACTGAACTTCCTCCTAAGCATACTTATTACCAGAAGCTGATCTCTAAGAATTATACCTAGAAAAGACTAAGAAACCACATAACTGACAAACATCAGAGGTGCAGAGGAAAGAGGACCAAGCTTAGTTGGAACAAGTTAGGGAACAAGCTTAGTTCCCATTACCTGGCTTAGTATCTGTCACTCCTTCCATAAGAACCAGTCCTACAGGTCGCTGACAGGCGATGCTGCAGAAGCGGAAACGTAGCAGGAAGTCTCGGCTATACTTACGTTTCTCTGTAAACCAGGAAAAGCCATACAGTGAAAGACAGGAAGAGGAGCCACATGCTGAGACTTCCTTAATACCGAGAAGCTTACAAGTAGGGACACAGAGGAAGTCAGGCTCTGAAGACAAGGAGATTTTCCAATGGCTATGATTTAAAGTTGTCCATTTCATTGGGTGACCATGGGGAGGACAATGAAAAAAACAAAGGAACGTGCTAAGAGAATTGAGGGAATTACACTTTCTCTTGTCACTGAGGTGCCAGCTTTCTCCCAAAATGGGCATGGAGGTACAACCAACCAAGAATGTGGCCTGTGCTCACCTGATCTCTTGGGGTGACAGGAGGTGACATACTGACAGCAATCAGTGATGCCCAGGGAGCTGGGCCATAGTGGGGCCTGCAGCTTCCTCTGATAAAGCTGATGGGAGAAGTCTTCCTGCCCAGATACCTACAAGGAAAGAGCAGATGGGAATAAGGAATCTGAGATGGAAAAAGGAAATAGCCCATGTTTTGGGACATGCAGACAAACATACACACACACACACACACACACACACACACACAGTCACATACTATGTATGTAACACAAGCAAAACACATAAGTCTCAGGGGAAAGTTAAAAATAAGGAGCTATTTAAAACCATTATTTTATTTTTTTTACTAGAAACACTGAAATATCCATGAGACAGGAATAAGGGGTTAAGAGAGTGAGGTATGCGAGTCAAAGAGAACAGAACTATATGAACATATGGTCCCCTAAATTTCAGCTCAGAAAAATCTACACTACTCTGCCCAGGGAATGTCAACTTTCGGGGGCTTTAATTTGCAGTGGGAAAAGGTTTATCCTTATCTTTGGATCTTCTGGATCAAAGTCTAGCATCTTAAGCCTATTACTGGGAAACCACGGGGTCAAACCAAATGGGAAATTCACCAAAGCACTTTACCGTATCTACGTCACCATCCTCGGTCAAAGCCAATGAGCAGCCTGGGAACGGACAGAACGTAGTAGGGGAAACATTCGGCAACATCAGTCATCTGCATATCTCCAACGTGTGTAGCAAAACCCCCTTTATTTCATTTAACAACAACAAATATTTGAATGCCAACTATGTGCAAAACACTAGCTAAGTGCTGGGGAGAGAGCAGTGGTAGACACAATCTCTCTGCCCCTCAAGGACATACATTTTCAGTATGCCATCAGAAGTAAAACATACCTTCAATTTAATGGCCATTTACTAACTGTGTGACTTTGGGCAAGTTAGTTAACTCTCTTGGGTTCAATATGCTCTACTATTGAATGGGATAATAATACCACATACAATTAAGAATCCTGGTAACCATAACTACTACCAATTACTGACTGCTTCCTTTGAAGCAGAAACTGGAAAACACTGTGTGCGTTATTTTATGTAATCCACCAAAGAAAACCCCCTGAAGTAGGTCCCATTATATCCCCAGTGTATGACGAGGCAAATGGGGCTTACGGAAGTGAAGTAACTTGCCCAAGGTGGCAGAGCAGGCATCTGAACTCAGGACTATCTGGCTTCAAAATGAGTGCTCTTAATCACTATGCTTAACGGCAGCTGTCACGTGGTAGGCACTTAGTAAATTCTTCTTCCCATTCCCTGAGCCCCTTGATTATAGCAGCCTCCTGGCAGGATAATGCCTTTCTCTGCGCATGTGGCAACCAGGACATCGCTGGCACTTGAGTAACCTCATTAAAATAAAAGCCCAAAGTGCTCAACAATAATTCAGTCATTTTACGTCTTTTCTCCCCTGTGCCTTGCCAAAAGTTAAGCAACAAATTGGATCAGCAGGGGCAAAAGAGAGGAATAAGGAGATTAAGTGACATGTAAAGAAATCAGCACAAGCTGAATGCTCCTCAGTAGGGCTAAATAAACTACAATAAAACTATAAGATACCTAGGTTATAAACATTCAGCAGTTAAAAGGAATGAGACAGATACATATGTACATTGTTAAGTGAAAAAAAACAAGCTACAAAATGAAATATACATAATATATCACATTTATAAACACACACAGTACATTATATACCAGCTTTTAGAAGCAATCACAGCATAGTACTGGAGGGCAAGAGCTCTGGGGCCAGACTACCTGGTTACAAATCCTGGCTCCACCACTCACTACCTGCAAAAACTAGAGTAAGCAAATTGCCTAACTTCTTTACACCTTAGCTTTTTCATTTATAAAATGGAAGCAATGATAGAAATTGTGAAAATTAATGAGTTAATACATGTAAAGTGCTTAAAATAGCACCTGGCACACAGTAAGTGCTTAATAAATGTAGATTATGATTACATCATCACAACAGCTTAGATACTACTGCAAATGCATAGAAAATGACCTGGAAGAACACCACCAAACTTTGAACAGTTATTACTCAACTCTAAGTGGAGACGTGGGAAATGTAGGTAATAAAGGGGGCTTTGGTCTTATTTTAAAATGTGTGAGTCCTTAAAGGGATGCACTTGTGTACTTACATGCACTTACGTATATACTTATGTACTTGTAAACTAAACATAAATTAATGATAAAAACTGAAAGGATTCCAATATACCAAAGGCACTCACGAGCTCCTAACTTCCAGGCTTGGGTACCAGGTATCAATAGAACAAGAAAAAGCCAGAGGAAGCCAGAACAGATGTAACTGAGGTCCCTGCCACAGAAGCAACACCAGATGCCAACACCAAAATCTCTCCCTAAGCCAACCCCGCAGTGGCCTCTCCCATTTCACCTTCCAGGCCGGCATCCCATGGTACTGGAGTTCTCCATCCCTGACGAAGTTGTAAAGAGGTGAATCAGGGACAGAATTCAGGTCCCCACACAAGATGATGGGGCAGTGGCTGCCATCTGACAACCTGGCCACCTTGTCCACTTCAGCCAAGAAAATGGCCATCTGGGCTAGCTTGACATCGCCCCGACGTGGGTTGTACAGGACGTGAGTATTTGCCACACATAAGGGGGCCACTGAGACTTGCCCCAGGCCTTCTGGGACTAGTGGCTGCAGCAGCAATACTAAGCCCACATTGTCCCGATTGAGGAGCTCCAAGCCAGGCCGAAAGTACTCCACAGGGCTGGCGCAGAGCAGACGGAATCGCGTGGGCTTGTAGCAGACAGCACAGCCATCTGTCTTATACCCGGTCCTCCTCTTGTAGAAACAGGTAAAGCCTGCAAGGAACACCCCACCAAGGAGATGGGTCAGAGTCCTTGAAGATGGGTTAGGGTCCCTCTACCCAGTGGCAGTAGCCCAGGCATGTGTGCGTAATGCATTGCTCCTGCAGTTCAGTAAGGGGAGTCCTTGCCCTTGCCAATTCCTTGGTTCTGCAGAGGCTCCCTTACAGTTGTAACCGGATGACTGAGTGGCTAGAAGGGGAAGGAGGGACAGAAGGGTATGAAGCAATAACCTGACAGGAAAAGCATGGACTCTAGGGTCAGACAAGCTGGAGTCCAGGCTCCACAACCTATGAGTTTTATATTTATAGCTTTGTGACCTTGAGCTAGTCACACAAATTTTCTGAACCTCAGTTTCCACACTGTAAAATGGGGATAATAATATTCAGCCTCACAGGGTTGGTTACTTCAAGGATTAAATGGCAGTATATGTCAGAATTGCTTTAAAACTTCAGGACTCTCCTTCTCACCCACACAAAGGAGCTAGCTCACAGATGAGACTGAGGGTTTACTGAGATGAAAGAAAGATACAGCGCATTCAGGAGAGAGCAGACAGGGCTGTAGGAAGAAAGACTGGCAAACGTGCCAGGGAGCGGCATTACCCATCGTTCTCAGAGAGGGCTCCAGCTGCTGCCAGTAATGGTCTTCCTGGACTTCCTGGAGACACAAGATCTGGGAAATGACAAGGAATCCAATCACTCCAGAGTAATGGAGGGCCCTGGAGTACGACTCCCACCCCAGAAGCAGGCATTGAAGCCAAATGGGAAGCTGCTGTGGGTCTCAGGCTGGGTCACACTGCAACTTCCCCTGGTGCTGACTCTTCCCTGATAGCCACTACCAGCAAGAACAGGCCCAGAGTTAAGCTGAGATCATCTGATGCGCTGATGCGCTGGATCTTCCTGCTCCTTGAATCCCTCACGTCTCCCTGCCTGCACAAAGGTGCTAGAAAGTGTGCACCCACGGAGAGTCTTCTTAGCATCTGCCCCAAACTCATTACACCAGGCAGGCAAGCACCAGTCCTAGGCAGGAGGCCAATCATATGAACAACTGTGGGGTTCAATTCATTTTCTAAGAGCACTGGCAAACAGCCAGGGTCCAGAGCAAATGCAGGATGGCACATCTCCCCATCTTCACTCACATCGGGATCCCAGTGCTGGAATTCCTGCATGAGATTCGCAAAGCGGTAGTTCCAACTGAGGATGTCTGGATGGCAATGCAGATAGAGCTCTGAGCTCTGCTGCATCAGGTCCTGAGCCAGGATGTTATAGGACATCAGACTGAACTGGAACTGAGGGCCATCCCCTGCCTCCAGGCCCTGAGCATCTGGCTGAGTGGAGAAATCCTCCCATTCTCGCCACAAGATTTCTGCAAAGGTGTCGGGAAGAAGAGGTCCATGGTAAGTCCATGTATTCACAGGTCCCACCATCTCCACTCCTGACTCCATGATACTGTGACAAGTTCCTTTTTTCATTTTCCCTGTCATTCATCCCTTTCTGTGGTGATCTGAACAACACTCTAAGGACATTCTCAGACGAGACAATAAACTCCACAAAGCCTAATATAATCTTGGCCTATTCATCACTGTATCCCTAGTACCTAGCATAGTGCCTGGCACCTAGTACAAGTTCACTAAATATGGCCAACAATTTCTCAGTTCTGATAAATCCATGGGTCTCTGGGGAATCACTCAGATGAATGTGCTTAATAGTCATTTGATATTAAAGACATTTCTAGAGTAATCTCAGCCTTGGGTGTTTTCTGACCTCTAAACCTGAAAATGCCTACAGAGCCAGAAACCATAATGTGTCTCCCATGTGCCCTCGAGCAGGGAGCTGCAGAGTGGATTTCAAAACTATGTGAGCCACAGCACTCATTCTCCAAAGTTTAATGGAAGCCCGATATATAACACAGATAAAAATGGAGTTACCCTGGTCGAGGCAGAGAGTGGAGCCCTGAGAGCTCTCCACCGCTACCCCAGGTCACCTCCAGAGAACCAATAATGTAGAGAATCAGAACTATGGTCTGCATTCAGTTCTGCCACTACCTAGCTATGTGACTTTAGGCATGTCCTGCTACCTCTCTGTGCAGTGATCACTTCATCTGAAAGGCCACGGGGCTGGATGAAATGCTCTCTAAGGCCCCTCTGGATCTGCCACTGCAGGAGTCTCAGAAAAACAGAATGCAGCAGCAGAGCTCCACACAAGAGAACTTTAGCAGTGACTGTGCGCACATCTGAGACAACCTGCTGCCCCAGCTCACTCAGCCGGTTGTCAGACTCACCATGATATGGGATTTCCATTGGGGGAGGCTGCAACTGCCCCAGGCCCTCAAAGGGCCAGATGGGAGCCTCTTCCTGGGGCACAGGCTCCGGTGCTATGCTCCAGGCCACCACTGCGGGGTCCTCTTCCCACTGCTCTGCAGCCAGGGCACCCACTGGGGAGACAGCACAGTCTGCATACTGGGGGCCGGTCTGCACCGGGACTTCTGCCCACATTGGGCCCTCGACCTCTGGCAGTGGCTCCTCTCCTAGCACCTCAGGGAAAGGCTCCTCCAGGTTCTCTGGTGCCCACAGGTCACTCAGCTGCCTGCTGGACCACTTGTCTTCTGAAGCAGCATCCTGTTCTCCAGGATTATCCATCAGGTGCGCCAGGCTGCTCTCGGCTACTCCCTTATCTACAAGCAGACCCTCGCTCACACTTGAGAGTGCCTGGCTTGACCCTTCTTCTTGCCACTGCTGCAGCAGGCCCTCACACTCCTCCTGGTCAGGGCCCCGAGGGGCCATGGCAAAGTCGCCGTCTACCTGGGTGGACGAGCTCTTCGCCAGGAGGGCATTTTTCCGACATGTAAAGAAAGCATCTAAGAAGAAAGCCAAAATACCATGTTATAAGATGACAGCATCACCCAACCCATGCTCTTCTGCCAACTTCTAATAAGTCTCATACAAGCAAGAATCATGTCCACCTTGCTCATCACTGTACCATCACTGAGCCTGCCCATTTTAGTGCCTGGAACATCATCATCATCAGAGCAAAGTGCTTACTATGTGCCAGGCACTGTTCTAAATGCTCTACAAGTATTAACTAGTTCATATGGTAGGGATCTGATAAATATTCAGTGTGTGAAGGAAAGAATGGCTATCCCACATAATCTAGGACAGAGATGGTCACAAACAACCACACTCCTTTCATCTGGAGGTTAAGACTCCTATTAACATCAACTCTCTGGTTCTAAGAGCCGCATTACTCTGGAACCAGCACTTGACCATGAGTCAGAACTGTGGGTTATGGCCTAGCACTGAAATTAACAAAGCTATGTGACCTTGGACAATGCCCCTAGTGAGATGGACTCACTCTTGACTGTAAAATGAGGACAAGGGAAGTCTGAACTGGATAATCTCCAAGAGCTTTTCTAGTTCTATAAATCCACTAATCTATGAATGTATTCTAAAAGAAAAAGGCCTAAAGTAGACAAAAAGGGTGTCTCAAAATCTGTACAATCTCTTAGCAAAGGCCCTGGGTCCTCTTCTCAAATCTATTTATTCTACTCATAAATCTTCACAAACTTCATTATCATCTTTCCCATTCCATAGTACTCTAGCGGCTGTAAATCAGAAGGTGCCAACAACTGACAGCAAGAGACAGCTGCCACATCTCTGCTACGGCAGTCACAGTGACAGCCAACAGGCAAAAAGCAGGTGGGAAAAACTATAAATTGGAGCCCCCAAAATCCAAGCACAGTATTTTGGTGCAAACAAAACGTCCCCCACCAACACACACTAAGTCACTTATTTTTAGCATAGGACAAGTGACATGTATGATGATGACCCTCAATCACCAGAGATTTATTTTATCAGCTCCATTTTTTTTTAAAGGCAAGAAAAACTTCAAAATGGTTCAAATGTTGAAAGACACTATCTTATTTAGGGTCTATGTGGATTTATGTCCCTCAAACCAGTGGTTTTTCAACCAGGGGTGATTTTGCCCTCAGGGAACATTTCTGCATTGTCTGGAGACAGTGGTTGTCACAACTGTGGGGATGCTACACTGGCATCTAGTGGTTATAGGATGAAGATACTGCTGAATATCCCACAGTGCAAGAGACACCTCCACAGCGAACTACCCAGGCCCAGACGTCAACAGTACTGAGACTGGGAAACCCTGTTCTAAACCCATGGGCTGGGTTGCTGGCCTTAGTCTCAGGAACTTATTAATTCCCTGCCCTTTGAAACATCCTCTATGTATATCGGATGGCAGAAGTTCCTTGATTTATATGTGTGAGGTTATTAGTTTTCAAACTCAGCAGGTTTTGGTTGGTGGTGGTGGTTTTTCAGCAGCAAAATTCTTTTATTAAAAGAAAATCTGTAGAAACCAAATGTACAAATACAAATGGGACTACTTTAATAGGTGTGTGCAAGTGGGTGGGGGGAGGCGCCCTTTCTCTGAGATACCTAAAACTCTGACTACTCATCTAGAAACCTCTGGACTAGTATATGTCACTACGGCTGCCATTATGGACACTGGCAGAGCTCCAGAAATGACAGCAACATGGTTAGAAGAATATGCATTAGTTCTCTGAAAACAATGACTTCTGTGGAGTTCCTCATTTCTGAGAAGTATGTACACACAAGACATTCCCGAATTGAGTGCCTACTGCATTCTGGGCAGTACGCTAGCACTAGATACAGTGAGCAAAACAGACATGGCCCTGCCCTCCTGGAGCCCGCATTCTAGTGGCAGATACAAACATACACATACATACATTAAATGTTTTATATGAAATATATAGGAACAGAAATTACACACACAAACACACACACACATATTGTGTAAAGTTCCAGAAAGGAAAAGCACAGAATGCACACAGTTGGACCTCTTATTTTGAAAAGTCCTCCTTGGTCTGTCCTGCCCCCTAAAATGCCAGAGAAAAGTCTGGAGGTTCTGTGGGATCTCCCAGAGGAACTGATGATCTCATAAGAGCCTCGGGAACGTCAAAGACCAGGAGTGGGGAGCACAGGCAGATCATGGCAAAGTTAAACAATAACTCTTCTCTAAGTACCCGCTGGGCTTTGCCTCCACCCCACTACATCTCTAAACGCACGGGACATTGCTTCAAAGCTGAAGTTTCAATGTGTCTCTGGATTCTGAGCATCCGTTTTTTCAACCAGACTCCGCGGAGAGGCGGCTGGGAAAGGTGAGGGTGGAGTTGACCCAGGGGAAAAACAGGTACGTCTACGTCTTCAGTCCACAGATCCGCCCCCAGGGCCGACTGGCCCCTGTCCACAGAGAATTCGGACATTAGCCTAGGCCCCGAGCGGCCAACCCTCCCCGACCCCCAGGGCAGTGACTCAGCGGGACCCGGAACCTCTCCGCAACCCCGGGGCCAGAAAAGGGCAGCTCTGGCCCCTCCCCCAGCCGCCTCACGTTAACTCTGGCCCGACACCTCCAGGTCACAGGAGTGAGGAGGGGCCCGCCCACGAGGCTCGCCGGCCAGGCCCGGGCCTTGTTTGGTCCAGGACAGGCACGGCGGGGCCGAGGGCCGCCTCCCCACACCTTGGCACTGCCAGGGGAAAGTGGTCGTGAGGCCGTCCGCGACGCACGCCGCCCCAGGCCCCGCGGGGCCCCGCCGAGGCAGACCCGGGCCTGGCACCCGCCCGTCAGGACACAGGGCCGGTACCTGAGAGGGCGCGGAAAAGGCGCGCGGCCGGCAGCAGCAGGTAACACAGGCACGACGCGATCATGGCCGGCCGCCTGCGCCCGCGCCCGCTCCAGTGCCCGCCTCCCTTACTCGCCGCCGCCCGCCAGGTCTCCCTCCGTTCGGCCACGCCCCCGCCCCGTCCCCGGCTCCGCCCCCGGGACGGCTCACATGGTACCACTGCGCTTCAACAACAACTTTATTGGGAGCTCAGGGCCAAGCGGGCGCCCACTGGGCGGGGAAGCCAGTTCCCAAGGCAACGGAGCGGAGTGGGCCGGGCCTGGCTCTCAGCGCCGGGATTTGAAATTAAACCCCTCCTGGAGGCACCATAGTATTATTTAAAGTCCACAGTTTTATTCCCGCTTCTGCCGCCTCACTACGGCTCCACCTTGGGTCCACCACGTAACCTCTCCGCCCCTCAGTTCCCTCAACTGTAAAATGAGGTGCTGGACCTTGTCTAAGGCCTCACCCAGCTCTGACTTCTATGATCTGGACCGGCTTAGCCCAGACTGGAGAGAGCCAGCTCTTTCCCATTTTTCTCCTTTTCCTAACTCTCTTCCCCAGCTCAGATTTAGGTCAAACATTGAGTCCACACCTTGCTTCAGCACATAAGATTTTATCTCCTCATCCTCTTCCAAATGGGCCCTTTTTCCCCTAATCTGGAAAAAAGGGGTGTCCCATTGAAAAGGGGGCCAAAAAGGGGAGGGGGTGAACCCTCCACAAGGGCAACGGGACCAAGTCTGGTTGGTTGGTTGGTTTTCCTTGAGGTATCTCTTCTCGCCAGTGTCTATGACAGTGTCAGGTACATAGTAGGGACCAAATAAACCTTTGTTGACTGAACAAAATATATGTCACTAAAAGAAGGCCAGTTCTTCCATCAACTCTGTGCTACCCAGACCTCTTTAATTCTCTCCTCCCCTTTCCCACTCTCAATCTTCTGCCGCTGTAAAGAAGGAGGGAGCACTTAATACTCCCAGTTTCAGTGCCCAGTGTATGAGCTGTGTGATTTCCAATTTGTGGCTGGAGCCTCAGTTGTTCGGGGAAGCCCTCTGCGGAGTCACCAGATCTGGGACCATCTGGATACATCATAACGCTGAAAAGCGGAAAGGAGGAAGAAGGAGAGAGTCAGTATTGTGGCCTTCCCACTCTGTCCCCTTAGCTCTAGACGCAGTGTATGCCTTCAGGCAACAGCGCTCTTGCCCTTGCCAAAGGTGAGGCAGAGGCTCCAGGGGCAATCTGAAGGTTGGAAAGCCTCTTAGAAACTAGCACACAAATGTTAACTCTACCTAAGGAGGCTCCAAAGTCAGATCACTTCCTTGATATGGCTTAAATAAACCTTCCTTGTCTGCCCTTCCATGTTGTCCCAATAAGTACCCAGAAGTCCAAGTTCCAAATCAGATCCTAAATCAAGGCACTTATCTAGAGACTAGGTTTTGTAAAATGATGGTTCCCTTAACACTTGCAAATGTTTTTACTTATTTTTTTTAATTTATTTTTTTATACAGCAGGTTCTTATTAGTCATCCATTTTATACACATCAGTGTATACATGTCAATCCCAATCGCCCAATTCATCACACCACCATCACCCCCCACCGCCGCTTTCCCCACTTGGTGTCCATACTTTTGTTCTCTGCATCTGTGTCTCACTTTCTGCCCTGCAAACCGGTTCATCTGTACCATTTTTCTATGTTCCACATATATGTTAATATACGATATATTTTTCTTTCTGACTTACTTCACTCTGTACGACAGTCTACAGATCCATCCACGTCTCCACAAATGACCCAATTTTGTTCCTTCTTGTGGCTGAGTAATATTCCATTGTATATATGTACCACATCTTCTTTATCCATTTGTCTGTCGATGGGCATTTAGGTTGCTTTCATGACCTGGCTATTGTAAATAGTGCTGCAATGAACATTGGGGTGCATGTGTCTTTTTGAATTATGGTTTTCTCTGGGTATATGCCAAGTAGTGGGGTTGCTGGATCATATGGTAATTCTATTTTTAGTTTTTTAAGGAACCTCCATACTGTTCTCCATAGTGGCTGTATCAATTTACATTCCCACCAACAGTGCAAGAGGGTTCCCTTTTCTCCACACCCTCTCCAGCATTTGTTGTTTGTAGATTTTCTGATGATGCCCATTCTAACTGGTGTGAGGTGATACCTCATTGTAGTTTTGATTTGCATTTCTCTAATAATTAGTGATGTTGAGCAGCTTTTCATGTGCTTCTTGGCCATCTGTATGTCTTCTTTGGAGAAATGTCTATTTAGGTCTTCTGCCCATTTTTGGATTGGGTTTTTTGTTTTTTTAATATTGAGCTGCATGAGCTGTTTATATATTTTGGAGATTAATCCTTTGTCCGTTGATTCATTTGCAAATATTTTCTCCCATTCTGAGGGTTGTCTTTTCGTCTTGTTTATGGTTTCCTTTGCTGTGCAAAAGCTTTGAAGTTTCATTAGGTCCCATTTGTTTATTTTTGTTTTTATTTCCATTACTCTAGGAGGTGGATCAAAAAAGATCTTGCTGTGATTTATGTCAAAGAGTGTTCTTCCTATGTTTTCCCCTAACAGTTTTATAGTGTCCGGTCTTACATTTAGGTCTCTAATCCATTTTGAGTTTATTTTTCTGTATGGTGTTAGGGACTGTTCTAATTTCATTTTTTACATGTAGCTGTCCAGTTTTCCCAGCACCACCTATTGAAGAGACTGTCTTTTCTCCATTGTATATCCTTGCCTCCTTTGTCATAGGTTAGTTGGACCATAGGTCATGGGTTTATCTCTGGGCTTTCTACCTTGTTCCCTTGATCTATATTTCTGTTTTTGTGCCATATTGTACCATATTGTCTTGATTACTGTAGCTTCGTAGTATAGTCTGAAGTCAGG